CCACCTCTTAATTAAATAGGATAAATATTATTTACGAATTTAAATGTCCATTAAGGAATTGTATTCCTGATCAATCAAAATTCGTAAACAATTATGTAGGCCACACTAAATGTTTGACACGCAGACTCACTCTACACCTTCCTGACCAATTAGATCTCATTTAAATATTCATGGAGACATACTGGACCCTATTCGTAACATACTTTTTGACAACACAAATATAATAGCATCATCTAGATGCAAAAAAAAAGACTAATAAAAAAAAGAAAACCAACACTCAATAATATCAATTATGAACATGGACACAATATCTTGACCGTGTTTTGAAAATGAAAACATTATATAAATAGGTACATGCAACAAACTATTTCTTACAAAAAGTTAATATATTTCAACCTTGAAAATGGCTAAATGTATAGCCCAAAACGCTCGGATAAAAAGAACAATCGGACAGTTTATATATAATTTATCATCTGAAAAGAAAAAATTATTAGATAACATGAGAAATTGTATAAAAAAACTAAATCTTGTCTGTCGTATTCAATGAAATGTGCATGAAAGAAGGATTGCCTGCCTAAACACACACACACACACACACACACACACACACACACACATATATATATATATATATATATATATATACATGCATATATATATATATATATATATATATATATATATATATATATATATGCATATATATATATATATATATATATATATATATATATAGGCATATATATATGCATATAAGCAAGCTTTAATCTATAGATGAATGTTTTCATTCGTAAATGCACATACAAATACTATATGTGTGTCTATGAGAGAGAATGTGTGCGTGTATGTGTGTGCATATCTATGAGTCTGTGTGTGTGCATGTATGTGTACGAGTCTGTGTGTGTTAGTGTGGTGTGTGCGCGTATGCTGGTGCTTATAAGCGTGTAAGTATCGTCTTTTGGCATTGCTTTTGGCCCGAAGTTAAAGAGGTGGAAAAGAGGCTAGTGGAATGAAAAGCAGTACTTGGATGATTCTATTTGTTCCTTCGACTTGTTGTCCATAGAAATTCTCTGCTCCTATTGTTTTCTCCATTTTCTGTCGATTTTGTCTTCGAGCAAAACCTGAGGCATGGCCACAACCGGAAGTACGAAACATAGCTCTCAACTTAACGGAACTTATCGAAGAAATTCCACGCTTGCCATGAATTGTCTCGTTTATTCTGGATCGTGTTTAAAAGAAGCGATACCTGCGTCCATGCCACCTATGTATGTATTAGGATGATATGTTCTTATTTATATATGGATGTCATGTATCTGGCTACAATCTAGTTCTCGATCCAGATAACATTTTTTAAATAATAAAAGAATTCAAAAATAGACAAAAGAAAAAATAGTCTTTCTATTTACACTACCTCCATTCTAAATATATTCACACACACACACACACACACGCACACACGCACGCACACATATTATAAAGTTACTTATTTAAAAATATGATTCCATCGCTACACAGGAATTACCATGTTTCAAAAACAGAAGCTAAAAACTTCAAATTCAATTATAGAATTAAATTAAAATGAAAGTCCCTAGTTCTGTTTCATTTTCAAACGAATTTTGGAATAACTTATTTTGAAATTTACTGAGTTTCAAAGCACATACATTCATAATATTATTTTTTATGGATATGGGGAAATCCAATCATTTTAACAAGGATATTCTTTTTCACTGACAACTATTGTATCACCATATTAGTTACTTTCGAAAAGAGGTTAAGTCAAGGTAGAGTAGGAGTGCCTTTTTAAACGAATGATGACATCGCTTCAATGCATCTCGTTTGCATATATATATATATATATATATATATATATATATATATATATAAACGAGTGGACACTGAAGCCAAGACTGAGTGTCAATAGTCTGTGTCATAATGGATTTTTAATCTGATAGGGCATCTTGTTACGATACACGTTATATTTAATCAGTACACGTGTTTCCGTAGACATCCATGTTCATTTTAAACAGTGAAATTAATATTAACCGACCCAGATGTACAAAGAAGAAAACGTGCCTCTCTACATGAATCGAACCTCTATTCCTTTTTTAATCAGAGAAACCACCTTCAAGTCTGGCGTACTTTACATTAAGCTATAAGAAGGTATGAGAGCAAAGCAAGGCTCAGTTACTCTATTTAAGAAACCCACAGCTCACGTTAAAACCTTTCGAAATCTATTTACATTATTCGGACTATTGTCCTCATCTTTGTTGCCATATTTATCACAACGTTTCGGCCGTTGTACGCTCCGGCATTTTTCAAGTGGTTGGAATGTCGAACTGAACCCTTTATTTCGCTCGCTGGGGTAGACTGTTCTAGTTCCACGTGCCATGTCTAATGGATATCAGTTATCAGTTATCTCCTGTCAATTACCATCTCCACTGCCTTAACCCGGTATTGAACTGACACTCTTTGCGTCCTGTCACTGGATCTAACCAACGGCTTTATCCACTGTGCCATGTGTCCTTGAGGCCGGAGCGTACAACGGCCGTAACGTTGTAATAAATATTGATCACTTTAATTACCAAGACTGCTTCATTTAATAACGTTATCTTCCATAATACACTGGTCGAAAGATTTCATTTATTTACTTCGCAAAATACAATCTTTGTTATATATATATATATATATATATATATATATATATATATATATATATATATATATAGTGCATAAATATATGTGTGTGTGTGTTTCATTAAAAGCGACTGACAAGGTACTGCGATTAAGTTGGCTTTTTCTTTTTTATAAATAATGTTTCTAATAATTTTTTCCTTTTTTTTACATGTGGATAGAAACATTATGAAGAAATATACAACACCAGTCGACAAAAACTAAAAAAATTATATTATCTACTATAAAAAATTTAAAACTGCAAGTCTCGTCGTCAACAACAATAACTTACCTGCAAGATCCAAATTAAAGAGAAGCAATAATATTTAAGAATTCCCCTGTCCAAATTAAACAATAATTATATTGAATATACTACAACATGCCTATCAAGAAGACTAACTTTACCTAACAGAATTAGGTCTCATTTAAATAGACATGGAGACATACCGCAATTTGATATTACAAATTCGAAAGCCTCATCCACGAGCAGAAAAAGGTTAAAAATAATGGGAGCATTATTAATAAAATAGAAAAAAAAAGCCAACAGTCAATAGTATCAACTATGAACACGGCCAAAATGCCCTGATCGTGTTTTTAAAATAAAACCTTCCTATAACTCTAGATGCATACATAAAACAATCCATACATTCAATTAAATGTAAAAATAAAATTATCAATGATAATGGCTAAAAAAATAACTGAAGGCGCTCGGACATATTGCAGCTCATGAGATTTTTAATTTTGATGAAGCTGCAGTAATGACAGCGAAACATATCAAATTCATAAACGTTTTCCCTATTTTTCGTTTTTTAATCATTCTGTTGGGGTTTTAATCCATATTTTTTCAACTCATGTGCGCTCACACACGCGCACACACACACATACATATATATATATATATATATATATATATATATATATATATATATATATATATTTGAAAAAAAACAGACCACGTTAAGATTCCATGTAATAAGCTATTTCACCATAACCCTTTAACAGGGTTCTGGATCATCAGACTTTTACTTCCAAAAGATTTCAGTTTTTGGAAGTAAAGTCTGATGATCCAGAACCCTGTTAAAAAGTTATGGGTGAAATAGCTTATTACATGGAATCTTAACGTGGTCTGTCTTTTATTCAAACATATCTGCTCTGAATTTTACATTGAGCTCTCTGGATATCCTCCTCATCCTCCTCAGGTCTAAACTAAATATATTATATAAATATATATAAATATATATATATATATATATATATATATATTGTAATGTAAGACTTTTACTTCACCAAAACATTTCACAATATGGGCAGTGAATTTCCTACCTCTGTATATTAAACATTTCTGTTAGTAAAATGCACCTATATTCATCCTTGAATCGAATGTTATTTGTTTGATTCCGGGAGTATTGAATGTAAAAAAAAAAAAACAATTCAGAACCGCACAAATTTTTCGATATTTCATACGCACAAAGAAAAAATTAATAAAATATTCTCATCGTTGGGATTTTGGGGGGGTCGTTTTTGCTTTTGTTTATTTTTGCTTTGTTTTGGCTTGTTTTTTTTGTTGCTGTTTTTTTTTTTTTTGGGGGGTTGACATCGCTGTTAAACTCATAATTTCTATTCAAGTTACAATTTTGTAATATGATTTCTAAAGTGTATCGATTTGCTCAATAAAAATTCTGGATGAGCGTTTATCACAGATTAATTAAAAAAAAATAACTGAAAACATTAAAATATAATAATTTAAAACTTATGAAAAAAATTAATAAACCAAAAAAATTGTTATTTTAAATCTTCCATGTCTAAGTATCTAAAAAAAAATTAAATAAACTCTTGTATTTATTGGTTTTCATATTTAATGTTTAATATTTCATAAAAACAATAGTAGATGAGAGAATCAAAATAATGTAACGGTATGAATTAATAATGCATTGTCCCCAAAACGTTATCATTTTTGACAGCCAATGAAAATCGCTCGACTCTTCGGGAATTAATTCAATGAAAATTACTAATGGACCTTATCAACGTCTTTCCAAACATCTGATTTCTCTCATTTTTGACATTGAATTATTTTTTTTCTTTAAAACGTTTCGTTTCCTGGCCAGCCTCGTGGGATTTACAAAAGACACTGCTAATAACGTTTCTTATTGTTTTCAGCACCGTTTTCTTCCAGTAAAAAAAACTGCTACCAAGCAAGTAAGACAGAAAATGGTGAGCTTAAATAATCCTTACCCTACAAGAACCGAGCGGACAAAGTGGCTGGGATGGTACCGACTCTGAAACAGATTAAATGAAGCTGAAGGCCGATGGAAATTAAGTGTTTTTCGCAGGTTGAGCAAAGATCCTTTTTAAGCTTCCTATTGCTGGAAGCCGTAAGCGCTGAACAAGATTTGGTCTGCTATAGGCAAAGAAGCCTGATGGGTTTTATTTTCTTTCTCTTTTCTGGCTCTCTAGATCTTTCTACTGTCTCCCTCTGCCTCGAGTGGGAAAATGATATACGTAAAACTGATATGGCTAAGTATTAAAGGAAACAGGTCACAAAAAAAGATGACGACTGTTAAACGATTTCGTTTTCACATTTTGTCCACTGATATTATCTGAGGAAAAACTGAGAAAAAATCCACTAGTGTTTAGTCCTATCACTGATCGTTCTTAATTTTTGTCATATGTCTTTCTCTTCTTCTTTCAGGACGTAGGGGACCATGACTCTCCACGATTTCCTTTTAGTGCTTTGACTGCTGCTCTTTTGCTACTCGTCGGTAGATTAATCAATGTTCCCACTGCTTCTCTTAGCTTAAATACGCAAATCTGAGTTTTAAATTCCTTAAGCTTTGTTTCCTCATTATACAGGGCGTCCCTAATGTCTAGGCACCCTAGGCAAAAATGCATATTTTCAAGAAATGAATTTTGCAACAACATTCTTTTGAACTGGAATATTAACAAATAACATTTTCAATATGATTTTCATCATTTTTAATGCAAAATTTGATGCGTTTTTCAAGATTCATGTGAACTCGACGAAATAGTCCCAAGTTGCCGTCAATTTTAGCACATTCACTCTTTATACGTTCAATCAAGTGTGTTGCATCTGTGATTTTCATTGAGCACACCTTCTCCTTTAGCAGACCCCTGAAAAAGAAGTCAGTTTCATCTTTCGACAAAACCATATTTAATCCGTGGAGGTAAAAAAAAACAAAAACATAATGAGATTTCCTATGTGTCCAGATTTTAGGCTCACCCTGTATATCCCATAATATTTCAGCTCTGGTTTTCTCTTGTTAGAAAGTCTTCTTCTTAAAATATCCTCTGTATTCATAGATTCTGTCTTTCGCATTCTCAACATTCATTAGCAGAGTCACATCTCCGTCGCTTTAAATTTTTTCTTCATCTGTGAAGAAATTCTCCAACATTGACTGTCAATATAAGAAATTAGATATTACACAGCAATTCAGAATTTTTATCAGTGTTTCTAAAAACATTTTCCTCTCTCTTAATAATTTGCTTACTTTCCAAAAGACATCGTTTGCTATTCCTGTGCGCCTATTGATTTTTGTGCCACTCTTCTTTTTTTAAATAAATTTTCACCCAGTATAAGCCGCAGTAGCCACTCAAGGTAGAGGGTTACTGAATGAGGTTGTTGTATAGACTTAAGAGGAGGACGTAAGATTATGAGAATATGTAGGATAGATAACGTTTGACTTTAGAATGAAGAGATTAAGATAGTAGTGATCGGGGAAGCATCCTCTCGGGAGTATGTTCCACAAAGTAGAATTTTGTTATGTCAAAGAATACTCGTTGTCACTTTCGTAATGCTCGTTGTAGTAGAGACTTTGTAATTGCAGATACAAACATAGTAACGCCGTTGAACAATATGGTGCCAAACGCCATAGAATAGCACTCGTACTAATAGTACTTACTCGATAATACTCGCTCGAATAGTAATCTGTATAGTGATCCGAATAGAGAAACAATATAGTGAATAGTATAGAGAATAGTGGTCTGTATAGTGTTGTGGCCTTGTTAGGGCCAGAAATAAAGACACAAAGACAGGAATTGAGTTAAACAAATATATTAACAAAAACAGTAATACAAACATATACAAACGAGAGTGTTACAGCAAGAATGTTCGGTCCGACTGTCAGGGTTGACTGCTGGAAACTTCCTTCTCCAAAAGGCAGTACCTGCTCCTATTTATAGGTGGGAGAATCGATGCGTGCGTGGGTAAATTACCATAACATATAGTAATAGAGGATAGATTAGAAATAGCGATCTTTAGACGTCTCGCTACTACCTACTTATGCGTTTCCTCTATGGTCACGTTGTCTACTTAATTCAATAATGGGATCGCCTGTGTTTGCTCATTGGCTATCTATGTTCAAACTCAAGTGTCGGTAGCGACACTTTATTCCTATATAACATAGAGGTTCTCCGAAAGAAACTGGGTGGAATCTGCTTCTTACTAATGAAAAAGAAATGAATGCGAATGATTTGATCCTGTATATGTTGCATGCTTGGTACTAGGTGTAAAGGTCTGAACTGATAGTAGTAAGGAATGTGTCTTGTCTGAACACTTGCCACGGATATAGTGTCGTCTATTATTACACTACTCCGGGCAGATAACATCATTTCTGCACCTGATTCTGACGTCCCCAATTCGTAACTCACAGTTTGAAATGTCTCTTTTGCTGCCAACCATGCATTCCGCCATCTTATTGGCGTGTCCTTTCTTACTTTCTTTGGCAAACTTTTTTGGTTCTTTTTTGAATCTGCTATCAAATGACATCTGCCGATATTTCTGCTGCTCTATATCGTATATTTTTTTACCATATGTGCATCAGTGAAAATGAATAAACATTATATCGTACAAGACTTACTCACTATTGTACAAATAATGCTTCACCTTAAAACCCTCAGAGACAAAGACTGACGTCATACCCACAAATGGGAATCTGTTCACAAAATTCGCTTCGAAAAGATTTCTGTTTGCTTTGTTTTTCAACATTTAAAATTCACTTCGTCATTTCTTTGCACCATAATATCAGAGTAATAAAGAGAGATTTAAGTTTAGCCAACTTGCTTTGTAAATATAAATATTTAAATTTGATGTAGTGACATCAATAAGTCCGTAGCCTCATGAGCATGAAAAACATTTATTTTACACAATATACAGGATGATTGAAAAGGAATTCACATCTAAATATAATTTTTACAAAATGGGAGAGTTCATTATACATGAAATAGGGAGTTACTTTTCAATTACCTTGTATATCTATTTTGAGATATAATCTACTACCTTTCGAATTAAGTCACTTTTTGATATTAATCACGGAGATTAGTCATTGTACAGTGAACATTTCTGATCAAAATTTAGCTACTAACTGCTTGTCTAGCTATGAATTTACTGAATTGGGTCGTAATAAATATTCGTGTCGTCTTTTAGGCGAATTTCAAAGAAAATATTCAGATATCTGTAGATAGACACTATTTACATTCTTCGGACAATTGTCTTCGTCGCCATATTTATTACTACGTTTCGACCGTTGCACGCTCCGGCCATCTTCAGGTGGTTGGAATGTCGAACTGAACCCTTTATTTGGCTCACTGAAGTAGATTGTTCGAGTCCCACGTGCTATATTTTTAATGGATGTCATTTATCAGTTATCTCCTGTTAATTTCCCTCTGAAAGTTCTCCACTGCCTTAACCGGGTATTGAACTCACACTCTTTGGGTCTTGTCACTGGATCTAACTAACGCCTTTATCCACTGGGCCATGTGTCCTTGAGGCAGGAGCATACAACGGCCGTAACGTTGTAATAAATATGAATAAATATGAGTTTTTGTTGAGCGTAGTAGAGGGGGTTTTCTTATTTATCGCAAACCCACCTTTACGGGCCTCTATTTGAATTGACGTTCGTTTGCACCTACATCAAGGAAAATCAATCTTGTTAAAACCTTGGTGTACAGAACGCTCAAAATTTGTTCTCCTACTAGATTGAACCGTGAATTTGAGAACATTAGGGAGATTTTCCTCAGTAATGGCTCTCCGGAGGCCCTTATTGACTATATTATTAGTAAGAAGACTAAGGAATTTCATTCCCCTAAATCCAGGGGCCTTCTAAATGTCCGGTTTATTTGAAGATTCCCTGGATTGGGGATAAGGGCCAAAATTTAATTAAGCAAGTTAGCAAGTCGGTTTCTGGTTGTTTTCCATCTGTTGCTTTACGTTGCATTTTTCGAACTAGGTCTGCGTTTCCGTCGTTTCGTAAGGATGAATTGCCCTACACCTTTCATTTGGAAACTAGAATAAACCAGCGTGTACCTTCAAAAATACGAATTGGTAAGATAGATAAAATGTGTTATCTCCCCACCCCTAAATATGGAATCGGCTATTGCTCAACACTTAGTTGAGAATATAGCCTGTGCCAAGTCGTATACAAAAGAGTGGTTTAAAATCATTCATACGGCTGGTTCCAACAATCATTTGAAGATTTTGGAATCAGTCTGTATAGGATTAAGGAAACATTCTCTCTGCCGGCAGAAAGAATTTGTAAAGTCCCTTAATCTGTTGGGGAATATTTTATTTTAACTGTCCCTCACTAATTTATTTACACGTTATTTCCCCTCCCCTCGTTACAAGTATATACACTTGTTTGTTATTTTAGTGTGTCTCCCCCCCCTTTTTTTTGCTCTTCATTTTCGTTACTGTTCTTTTCGTTAATTAATTATCCAACGATTGTCTCCTGATGAGATGTTGGTTGAAAGGGCCTTAGAGACTAATAAAATTAAAATCAATAAATTCCTAGTTTTTAAAACTGTATATAAATTTTGTACCTCTAAACATTTATATATATATATATATATATATATATATATATATATATATATATATATCCGAATATAATGAGAACGAAAATAATATATAAATAATATATAATGTAATAAATAATATATAAACGGTGACCATTTTAGTTCTTGCCAGTCGAGGTGCAACTAAATGAACTGAAACAAAGTTGCATCTTTGTAGTGAGTAAATTGTTTTTGCCTATATGAAAAAATATTCGTCCTCCGAATGACGAATATTTTCTCGGACATTCAGAGCATTTACTTAAATATTTGTATCTATAAAAATAATGTATAAACATAAAAATGTCTTAAAATAATTGTCAGACTTTGTCCATTTCATATATATATATATATAATCAGGTGATGAGCGTTACATAATTTATATTTTGTTAAAAATATCGGGTTATCGCAATTGTGAGGCAGTCCATATTTTATAGGAGATTATTGTTTTTAAAAAAATTTAATTTTGTATTTAAAATAAAGATAAAAATAATAAAAGTGGAAAAACATTAAGCATTTTGTATGCAAAATAAAAAAGGGAAACACACATACACATACACATCCAGGCTATGTGCTTACGATTGCGTCTAGCATGAAACAACCTGTCAACCTCAATGTCCACTTTTATATTTATATACGCTCTGTCTTTCATAATGATCACTTTAAGCCATAAATATAGCATACCTTAAAACTATATTTTATCATATATATATATGGTTCAGGAAGAGATAAATAAGATTAAACGATAAAAAAGTTGTTGTCCATAATAAGAATACAAAACAATAGACGTAGTAGAAAAAAACTAGTGTAGTGTTGCGCATTGGACGAACATGTGCTTGGGGTTGTAGATGCCGATTCTTGGGTGGCCGTTGTGGATGAATGCAAAAAAAATGTGGCATGATCGAAAAATAGCCAGTTCAATGAATCATTCTATTTTTTTTTATATTTTTCGTCAGTCGGCTGCTACTAGACTTTGATCGATTGATTGATTCGGTTTACTAATTAACCCGTAGTTGGGGGAGAAAAAGTGGATCCATACCTTTCGCAAGGATATTTGCGCGTAAGTAAACATAACAAACCCAAATAGAATTGGGTACCGCCCCTCCGAGTAAAAATTGGTAGCCATTATGCATTACACTGCCTGCAATTTCCAAGCGGACACTCATCTAAGTACTGGCCAGGCACGACGTTGCTTAACTTCGGTGATCGTACTGGAACCGATGTTTCAACATGATATGGCTGTAAGCCTATTAGAATTTGGCAAAATGCGGAAAGCGATGACTGTCAAATAGAATTCCCTCTTTGTTAGCTTGCCAGGCGGTTTCCTCTATTATAAAAGCTTTAATTCACCCCCCCCACCTCCTGTCAGTTTAATTAGTAAAAGTAATAAATCACCGCTCCCAGCCCACACTCGTTCCAACCGAAATATTTGGGTTGAGACTGGTCGGATTTTCATTCTCAAGTGGTTTGAGTCGTCATACCCAAATAAGGGCCAATATTTCACAACCAGACTGCTTAATTAACAGAATAGTGTATCGCTCAATAGAAAACTGAAATATAAGATAGAAATGTGTTACTAACAATGGTAAAGAAAATCACTATCCAATCATTTCGAAGGATTTGTGAAAAGTCTTCATAAAGGAGTGACATATAATAGATGATATATATATATATATATATATATATATATATATATATATATATATATATATATATATGTAAAGCAAGAGAGTGTGATTTATAATATTATGTAACAATTATCATAATATATATATTATGATAATTGTTACATAATATAAATCACAAAATTATCATTATATATATATATATATATATATATATATATATATATATATATATGATAATTGTTACATAATACTATAAATCTCACTCTCTTGGTCTACGCACTCACACGCACACAGACACACACACAAGATATATATATATATATATATATATATATATATATATATATATATATATATATATACTGTGTATATTTAGTCAGCAATTTTTCATTAATGCATGTTTCATTAAATAATATAGACAAGTTTTGTCTATTTATTTTAAGTAAGTTCCTTTCATATTGTCTGATAAGCTTAATCACATTATCATGCTTAATACTTCTCGTTTTTACTCTCGCGTGGTCATGTGTGACGTCACGAGCTGCGACGCGATTTTTGCTTCCGCGTCTCGTATACACGAATTTGTCGTTGCTTTGAAATTTCTCATGCAGCAAGGGCGGACTATCATTGTTCTTTCCTCCGTATGTTGTTTGATATATTGAAATTGTCATCTTTGATAATGGCTTATTATTGAAGCTTAAATAAGCGGAAAATACTTACGTTAACAAAATGTATTGAAACAAAGAATAGGTACACAATTTAGTTTGGTATATTTTGGAAGACTGTTCCTATAATGGGTTGACTAAATCATGTCGGGCAATATATTTCTTATCCTTTCGTCTTTACCAACCCATTATGTGATTACCGCTTATCAAATTAGACAATATATAAGGAAAACTTAGATTGATTTAAACATGTAAATATATCCTTTCGTCTTTAAAGATTATTTTAATCAGACAATATGAAACATGCAACCTTGTCTATATTATTTAATATATATATATATATATATATATATGTGTGTGTGTGTGTGTGTGTGTGTGTGTGTGTGTGTGTGTGTGTGTGTGTGTGTGTGTTTCTTTATACCCGATTTCAGGGAATGATCAATTTTGTTAAATTAACTGTTGTTTGGCACTTTTATTTGTTCTCAAATAGTTTCCTAGACTTGCATTTGTTATTGCAACACATAGCCAAATGCTACGTGCAGGTTCGATGTTATCCCTGGGTGGAATGTTTTTGCCGCATTTTTATTAAATGCATGCATGGAGACAAGTTAGTTTTAGCTGCTGGTTAATTCCGGGCCATTTCGCTTGCCTAATCTGTCTATGGCGCTTCATATAGTTAACAAGATATACTCTGGAGAGGCCGAACGGATGTTCCAAGGAGTAAATTCTGGGTCATAGATGTACCTCATCAGTCTGATGTTCCTTCTGACGTTTTACTCTCTCGTCCAAATGATGTGAACATTTACAATTTACTTCTAATGACACACACATACACAGGCACACACACACACACACACATATATATATATATATATGTGTGTGTGTGTGTGTGTGAAAATATATAGAAAACAGGAAAAAACTCGTTAGGTAAATAATCCGACGTTCTTTAGTATTTTTGTTATTATTTTTAAAAAACATTGCTCGATACAAAAGTAGAGCCTAAATATAATTATTTATTTAAAAATATGATTCCATCGCTACATAAGAGTTCTCATGTTTCAAAACAATAGTCAAAAACTTCAATATAATTATTTGAATTAAATTGAATTAAAGTACCAAGCTCTGTTCCATATTTAAGCGAAATTTTTTGGGGAATAACTAATTCTTGAAATTTACGCGTTTTATAAGCATATTCATATTAAAATTAAAATTACTATGGTAACGGCTAGAGCAATTATTTAAAAAAAGGGGGCGTAAGTGTTAATAATTTGTATCAATATCTCAGTTACATTCAAAGAGGTCAGGGTAAGGTTGGGGTGTCTAAATTCAAGGCGGAAGATGACATCGTCTAGTCTGGTTAAGTGTCTATGGAGTTTTATTTATTTTTTTATTTTTTTATTTTTTTTTTAAAGGGTTTTGTGTATATAAAAAACTGTCATAATTCGCTAACATTTGTTTTTTGACGACTTCATAAAGGGTTTTTTTTTTGGGGGGGTAGGGCATTTAAACTTTTTATTTAGACTATGGAATTTAAAATTTGTATTTATTATTTTATTGTTTGTTTGTTTTTTATGCTAATTATTCAATGCGAATATTTGATGATGTCGGAAAACCCCGTTAACTCATGTCTATTGTTTAATAAATTTTCATTATTTAGAAACTTGATAATGTGTAGTTTTTTATGTAGGCATAAAGGGCATGGGTCATCCCAAGTTTTACAAGTTCTAGTTTTGTTTATAATTTTCCATTTTACTTTTGATGTTTTATTCATTTCCTTCAAATGCCAAAAATATTTAGATAGAGATGTCTGATTTCTTTTATTAATATTGTTGAAGGAGCACTTATGCTGCCTCCACCTGGTTTTAAATTCATTCTTCGTAGACCCAATGCATATCATATTAGTATTAAGACTCTCAATGGATGAGATAGTACATTGGTATACTGCAGATTTTATGCGGCATATATTTTCCAATGGTCAGTCTTCTGGGTTTCTACAATCACATAATTTTTCACTATTTTTGTCTAATTTAAGTTAGGGTTTTTATTAATACTATTCTGGCATGGGGTTTATTCAGGATTTTATTATTGTGTTTTTTTATTATACTTTCTAGATTTTCAGTGCAACTGTAACTTAATTTTAGGGTGTTTTTATTCAATATTTTACTAAGTCTACTATTTATAGGAAAGTGTTTTTCAATTAAAACTAGAAATTTATGTCCTAGCTTCATACTAACCATTTGGTTGAACAGAGGGATATACCAAATGATTTTTCTTTTCCTGTTTTTCTTCTGGTTAGTACAATTGTTTCTATAATTGATGTTAGCATTTTTGTATCCACTATTTTTAGGGCTGCGTTATAAAAATTACTGTGTTGTTGGAATATTTCTGATTCTATTCTCTAGATTTTTCTAGATTTAATAAACAACACATACCTACCTTATAGAAAACCCAACACTAACCCCTTGTATATACACCCTAAGTCAAACCACACTCCATCCATAATTAAGCATATACCCTCATCAATAGAGAACCTTTTAAAACCCTTTATTCTACATTCAACACCATCACTTGATAAGACACCAGAAGTGTTGAAACAAAATGGCTATTTTTGTAGTGATTTTATAACATGTTTATTTTATAATATATATATATAATTATGTTTTTATAAAAAAAATTTATAACATAAATATGTTATAAAATCACTACAAAAATAGCCATTTTGCTTCAACACTCTCGGTGCCTTTTTTTATAAAAAATAATTATATCTGCTCTACTTTGTATTGAGCACTCTTTTAAGAATAGTAATTGTCGGTTATTGGAATTCATTCCGTATACACCAATTATATACTTATATATATATATATATATATATATATATATATATATATATATATATTAAGGAATAAGGACGTGGTGATTTTCATAACTTAGAGAAGCAATTTTGAGGGATAATTTCATTTCTTCTGTTTACTGTTCCTTCACCAACTTTCATATAAATCTGTTCTTAGACGGTCGATTTACAAAGTCGGTTTCGCTTCGGGGATAAATGCAAAAACCGATGATGAATTTCTTTTCAAAGAACTAATAATATAGTTTTCATTAGAAATACAAGTTTGCTGTTCTAAACACGCAAGATAAGACTCTTACATAAGACAAGCCCTTTTTAATGAAATGATTTCTTTGTTCATTTTGATCTTTTGTGTTGTGCTTTAGTTTAGAACCGGCAGGGAGAATTTTGTCGGCTTTTGACTTAGCGGTAGTCATGCGCGATTAGTCTTAGAATAAATAAAATATACTGCATCAAGCCTGAAATATATGACCTAAGTTCTTTTATCCTACCACCTGCTAAGCCATTGACGTTGGAATCAACAGAAAAGTGACCTTTACTCGGATTTACACTACATAATTCGCAGGCCATACACTTAATGATAGAAAACCGCTCGTGATATTTGAAGAAGTCTCTGTCACAAGAAAAGTTTGTCCTTTTTTTATCCTTCGACATTATGGATTATGGTCTGCTAATGATGCTTTATAAGTAATAGCGAGATTTTTATCATCTAAGGAAGATTGAACAGGTTTTTTTTTTTTTGTTTTTTATTTTGATCAATCTGCTTTTTCCTTTTTCTCCTGTGGCGCATTGAGAACCTTTGAAGAGAAAGGATTAATGGTTGGTTTTGTCTAAAAGTTACGCCTGGCAGTCTGTGTTTGCTTACGTCATCTGAGAGCGCGCTTCCTGTCAATCAACAACTACGACTCTAAGACTTCTGAACTGCTTCATCATCTGCTTATTCTTCAATTCTTTTCATTCTTCCGATTTTTTCTTTTTCGTCTTTATATTTTATTAATTTTTGGCCTTCTTTACAACCATTTTTCTCCGTCTTCTTCCTCGTAACATTGTAATATTTACCTTTATCTTCTTCTTCTTCTTCTTCTTCTTCTTCTTCTTTCCTTTTTT